AATTGTAAAAAACAGAGACATCGTCTATGGATATAAAAAAAAGGTTAACAGTCACCGCAGCCTGTTTTAAGACTTAGGAGACGTACGAACTTATAATAGTATACTACTCTTATTATAACTATTTATAATCGCTATGCTAAATAAGCGAAAGCGAGAAGCTGCAAAAAAAAAATACATTAGTTTCGTTTATTGTTCCTCTTGTCGGTAAGCTAGATGTCGTAAATATTATAGAAGGTATTATATGAATCTATTACGATCGATTACTATTTCTCTTAGAAATCGGATCAAGGTTTGAGTTCATCTGGATTAGCTAATACCGAAGAAGACATATTTAAGTTTACTACCTCTGTGCTTATAATCAAGTTGTATGTTAAGTTTCGATTAATCGTCAAATAATTCCATTTTTCTTTTATTCACAATCAGTAAGAATAGAGAGTTACGATAGAGAATAACAATTAGCCTTTTATTTGTCTGTCTTTTTCTGTGGACGTTTGCCCTTTAAATGATCCTCTCCCTTTCAAACACGTGTCTCTTCTTTAGATCGTTTTCGATTCCACTCGAGTTTACTTTACCTCATGCTTACCTGCACCCTCTTCTGGGCGCACCCTGTTAAGCGAGAGGATGTTAAAAAGTTCAAACCTTCAAAATATTCATTGATTTTTCAATTGATTTGTATAGAAATATATAAAAATTAGCCATTATAGTAAATTATGGAGGAGAAACGATCCAGGAACTGGGTGCATAGAGATAAACGAGCCGTGCACTGACCCGCTTTCCGACGCGGACGGATCCTCGTTTCGTAATATCTACGCCGTGCCGTGCCGTGCTGTGTCGTGTCGTCAAATACGTGGCGTGCGTCCTCCTCGATTAGTGTAGTACGAGAGAACTTATTTTCAATCATCTTCTAATCTCGGAAATTTACACCCAACGCAACTCAATTACAATTTCAAAGTCTATCAAATTTCATGAGAATATCGTATATTTGATTAGAATTGCCCAATGGTGAAAATAGTGAAAATTTAATTATACCATTTTGTTTGACATCTTGGTAGCTTTTAATTATTCTCTTTCACCTAAATAAATAACAATATACACATTTAATTAAAATTAGAAACGTTATTTCAAATTATACTCTCTCGGAAATTTGTAAGATGCTCTATCAATCATACAAGAACGAGATTTGACATTAAAAATATTTCACAATATTGCAAAAGTCTTTTGATTGCATCATCAAACCAGTACATGAATTAGAATAGTATTTCTAAGTACATTACAGTCACGAGACCCTCGAAATGACGTTAAAAGCATTCTTCGATTCAACCGACTGCCTTCGAATGATTCCATTTACGTTTTCATAGTTATCACCTTCGAATGTCTCACCTGGTGAGTCTCTTTTGTAAATCATAATTGCGGTTAACAGATCATTACAGAAAACATTTGTGCTTTCCGTGAATAAGTTCAAATCTACAGATTGTGAGATTAAAATCACAAGGATTCCATTACAAGTTAGAGATGATTCTTTTCTATTAACTTACTTATTTTGTATAAGTACTAACACATGATTTCGGAATTGCATTCAACAACTTAAAGATGTAACACCTCGCCAAGAATTAACCCTTGATTTCGTCCCTTGGAATTTATATTTCTTTTACGTATTGTTTTACCTACGTAAATATGTGTATGTATGTATATATGTGACATTTTACGTTATATATCTGTAATAAAATGTATTCAGTCACTTTAATCACGAGGGTATTTCATTCGTTTAATGTCATCAAATAGTAATAAGGAATATCTAGAAAGATTTTCAATCTTTTTTTGGTCCTCGATCAAAAAAGGACTTTTTATCGTTCGAATAATGGTCTGAAGCGAAAAAAAATAACTTTGTTATTCGTTTAATATTCAGTTATGTCAGGGTCTTTCCTTATAGAATTGGAAATATTTGGCCATATTGACTAAAACGAGACGCCATATTGTATATTTAAATTTAACAAACACATGGTAATTTAGTGCGTCCCCGTAAGATTCTTATAAGATTCTTGCAGAATTCTTATAACATCAAGTAACGATCACGAGGTGTAGACCAAAACAACACAAAACGCTAGCGTGTTAGTTATCACGAGGTTTCTTCTTATGCGAGAAAGAGAAAAGTGAAGGTGTTAAAGACTATGGCAAAACTACGAAGATACTTCGGAGATACTACGGAGATATTACGGGGATATAGAGAGGAATGTAAAATAGCTAATAAAAATCTTCACGTATTCTCTACAATCCGTTGAGATCAAAATTAAATATGGGTTTTCTGCCTCTTTCTCTTTCGCTCCGCCATTTTGAATTACATGACGTCCGAGAATATATTTATGCATGTGTTGATACTTTGTGAAATCCGTTCATTTTTCAAATGACTAATTAAATCCTGAAATAACTATATAAAAAATAAAAAAAAAAATATAGAATCATCTAGGTAATATATGAAATTGAAATTTGATCCTAATGTAAGATTAGATCCGATAGAAAAGCACGACTAATGGAACATTGATTCTCAAAGTACAGAAGGAGATAAGAACTCTACGAGCATTATTGTAGAAAAAAAAGACAGATTTTGAATGCTGATCAAATTTGATTGATATACTTATATACGATAAATACATTTAAATATAGATACATATATGTAATCAATAGAAATCATGAGCAAAATTGTTTTGTTAAGAAAATTTAATAGAAAACAAATTTGCGTTTAAGTCAATATGTTTTATTCGTACGAAATGAATGGTTAAAATAAGAATAAGATGGAATACGTTACGAATGATTAACTCGTACACGACATTGTAGTTTCCTTCGGGCTAAGAGTAGGATAATTCAAATCCGGTTCCGGATAGCAATAATATAAACGAGATAAAGATACCATGTACGTAATCTATTATGAAAGGAATAAAGGATGAAGATTCGTGTGGGTTTCTGTTAAGTTTATTCTGCGATAAATATAATCTGATACCACATATGGAGCAATAACCTTCTATTTTCTACACCACCTATCATCGTAATATCGCGATAGGAACGCTTATGAAGTTACGAGAAAAAAACAATAGAAGAATAATCATCTCTTTCGAAAATTCATTTTCACGATTGTTTAATGATAAGCTTCGATATATTTGTCCCGCTAATTTCATGAGTCATAACAAATTAGCATAGATATTTCCGGAATCGTGGTGATTCGTTCGATTATGACGAACGTATTATATGTATGATTTAATACGAATTTGCAATTATTACAACGTGAATAGTGACGTTTACAAAAGCAGTTATGGGCGAGTGAATAAAAATCAGAGAAACAGAAAATATCAGAAATCTCCCTCTGGGAAAAGCGTAGATTTTAAATCTAACAGGGTGTAAAAATATAATATTACTTATGAACGTAATAACATCAAATTTGTGCACAATGTATAATATCTTCTCTTTGTTCTTACTACAACTTGCAGAAAATAATTGAATATCAAAAAGAAAATAATTTAATTACAAAATAAATGTATAGTTATTTTGTATTTTAATTGTAAGAAAAAAATACAAATCTGTATGAATAAAAAGCGTGGGAGAATAATAAGAAGAGAAGAGACGAAAAATCATGATTTTCGATTAGGTTAACCGCAAATTGCTTGGTACGTGGCTTTACATCGGTATAAATGACCAAATTAAAACCCATTCGTTTTCTCTGATTCCTCTTTTGTTGCACATCTCTCAAAGGAATCGGAAAAGAAAGTGGTAAATATCGGAATATTGCATGTAGGAGTGTACGGAATGTGCAATAGGTAACATCTTTATACAATATGTATCTAATGTAAGTATGTGTGCTACACATCGTTAACGTATAAGGTATCGCAAAGACTCATCCGATCACGCGCCGTAATATGCGCAATCCTTATTCCCCATCATTACACAGTATCGAAAACTATTGTACTGTTGTAAAACCGTTGGAACGCGATGACATCTTCTTGAAAAACGGACGTTCCGTTATACGCTAAAACGTTACACGTGCCGTTATATCATGCAATCGATTATCAAGTATACTTTTATGGAAAATAACGTTAGATCGAAGCACGTTCTGAGGAATGCAAATTATGTCATTAGATTTATGTAACGATAGGTAAGGTAAGGTACTTACGTAGACAAAGAGTTAGAGAGATAACGATCAAAAACGTTAGGGAATATACGCTACTGATATCCAAATGTCGACCGCGTCAGAGTTGCGTCAGGGTGGTCTTTTTTTTAATCATTTTTAATCATTTTTTTTTAATTTTGATTACATTCCATTGGCAAAGCAAATCGTCGATTTTTACAAGTGCAACAACCCGTGGCGCATTGCATTTGTCCTTGTCACAGTATTCCCATCGGGAAAAATGCAATCAGCCAGGAGAAGTTCGGTGTCCTTGCAGGAGATCGCTCCTCCGTTATTACCATGATTTTCAGAATGGCTTTCTGCAATCCTTAGACGATTGCAAAACTGAAGATTGCGTCAATGACTCGTATACGAGGCGCGTAGACGACGCACCTTCGCTTATGTCGATTCAAATTAGGATCATTTAATCTTCTTTGATCACTTTTAAGATCACTTCATTTTCTACGAAATTCATAAAAATTGCGCTTCATTTGACAAATAAGTAACATTAATAAATTGGATGATAATTTCAACTTTATTCTTTTAACATTTCTTTTAACAGCCATTATCAATGATAATAGTTGAGTTTCGAATTGTTCTCGTTCGTTAATTCTTTTAACATTTCAAAGAAAAATCATAAGCCGAAGTAGATTGCGTGTATTCAATACATTCTTACCATTAGATATTTTAGATCTTTTTATTGGCAATTAAAGATTGCAGTGCAACGCAAACAAAAACAAACTCAAAATTAATTAGACGAAAAATTTTGCCGAGTTACCAAAGCGTTTAAAAGAATTTAAAGAATCGACTTACAATCGATAGTTATTCGATATATCGAAAGGTCGATACGTGCAAGTAAATATATCATGGCGACGTATTTAAGTTTTTAACAGAAAGTTATTTGTCAACGAACAAAGTTGCTATTTGTGCTATTCAAATTATTTTTAATTAATCACAATGAACTTATTTACGAGACAATGTATGAGAATTCTTAAAACGACCAATCAAATTTGCATTAATAATTCAAAAACAATTGGTTATAAAAGTGCTGTTTCTTTGGAAAATTTATATCCTGGAAGTAGCTTGAAGTTATTTACAGCAAATTTCGTAAGTATTTTTAATATATTATATATACATTATTTTTGTTAAAAAGGAAAAGAAAAAGAAACATGTATAATAAGATACAGTTTATGGAACATAACCTCATTTCAAGTTTTATTGAATTTTATGGTAATATTCTCAGGTACCAGAAGATTCCTCGGCAAAATTTAATGGATATATCCCTATCGAAAAACTAAACATTACCTACAGTCGTAGTAGTGGTCCTGGAGGACAACATGTAAATACTGTAAATACTAAAGTAGATTTAAGATTCAATGTGGAAAATGCTACATGGTTGTCGACTGAAATTAAGGATAAACTATTGGAACAGGTAGATACAACAAAGTGATTTTAACATGATTTAAGATCTTATATATAATAATAAACATATTTTTCTGTTCTTAGCATAAAAATAAAATAAATAGAGAAGGCTTTTTAATAATTAAATCCGATCTCACAAGATCTCAACAGTTAAACTTAGCCGATGCATTAGAAAAACTTAGAACATTAATACGGAAAACTTTGGAAGAGCCACCACAAATGACCCAAGAAACTGAAGAGATTATAAGAAAGAGACAACTCAAAGCTGCGAGAGAAAGAATTTTTGTAAAAAGAATACGTTCGCAGATAAAGCAAAATAGAATAGGCGTTCCTGTAGACTTTTGAATGCAAACGATAACTAAATGGAATTACAAAACTATATAGAAGATGTATTTTAACGTACAGAAACTAGTAATAGAGGAATAAAATATAAATATTTTTATTTTTATTAAAATCCCATTGTGTAAGTGTGTGTGATTTGTTTGTGTACAGGATGGTAAAAAATAAAGATCCGATATATCAGAGGTATAAAATAGGTATAAAATATACTAATTCAAGAAATGAAAGCGTACATCGATCCATGATCCGTAAATGTCAGAGTTGCATTCAAATAGAAGGAAGACGTATCAAATACATATGATTTCTACATATTATGTTTCGCGTCTACCAAGTAATTTTTATTGAATTATTAATAATTTTCATTTATTTTCATATTAAAGTTATTTTGATAGTCTTGTACCAATGCATTTTTAAGCAAATTCCTCCGCATAGATGAAAAATGATGCCAAGACTAGCTTATGATATCGAATGCTCATAAATAATAAAAATTAATTGACTTGATAAATACTAATAGCCCTTAGATTATCGGAATTTCTTTTTTATCTGTTATATATATAATCATGTTGGATGCAAAGTCATAGTTAACGTTATGTTAGTTTTATAGTCATCGCCATAGTAACGAATGCAGCCTAAATGAAAACAAAACTGAATAGAAACGATTGATCTGTGGTTAACTTCTGTTGCCTGAAAAAATACAAATAAAGTAAAAGAAAAAGATGTCTTTCCGAGAATTACGCAGTACGTAAATTCACACATTATTTTTGAAAAGTTATGTAACTATTTTCTATCATATATATATGTAATAAGCATCCTCTTACAATATTATACAGATTTTACAGAGACAATGAGAGTACTTGGATATCCAAGATTAATATCCATAGCTAATTTTCGCTCACCAAATTTTCCTTTGGTAGCAGAAATTTTAGTCTGGCTAGTAAAAAGATTTGATCCGGATGTAGACATAACCTCCGAGCATAATACAGAGGAAGAACGAATTTTTTTAATACGTAGTGTCGCTGAATTTATGGTAACCATTTAGAATTATTCATTTCAATTATAAACATGAAGAGTAATAGTTAGATAAAATTAAATATAATATAGTATTACAAAAAGGAAACAATCGTTCAATCAATCAAAATCTAGCATTACATTTGCTACAAAATTAAATTATTACTAATTGATCTTTTACATTTCTATTATGTATAATTATTAATGCAATATTTATTGTGTACACAGGCATTAAATACTAACGTGAAATTAAATACAAAAAAACTATATCAAGCAGACGGTTATGCTGTACAAGAATTATTAAAGATAACGAATCTCTTACACGAAGCTCAAAATCGTGGAAGTGAAAATATAAATTATAATGATAATCGTAAGATCGTAGAATTCAATATTTCTGACGAAATAAACGAGTTAAAATCAACGAGACAATTAGCTAGTCTCTTGACTGTGAATGGTGCGACGCTTTTTGATCTTCTTGGGCGAGAAGTCGAACTTCGTGATGTTAGAAACAACAAAGCTGGTAGACAATTTGATACTGCTGAAATAGAAAATGTTTTGAAGGATGTTATTGAAAATATGAGAAAAGAAATAGAAGATACTAAAAAACAAATCGACAATGTCAAGGTATTAAATAATTATATTTCATTAAAATGATTGTTTTCTATCAAGATTTTTGTCGTCTATCTTTCTATTTAAAGGATACAGAGCAAAGCCTCGATACAAGAATAGAAAGACGTCGATCAGAGTTGGAAAGAAATCAAAAGAGACTTCAAGCTTTAAGAAAAGTTCGTCCTGCTTTCATGGAAGAGTATGAAAAGCTCGAAGCAGAGTTGAGAATTTTATACGACGATTATTTACAAAAATTTCGATATCTTTCATATCTGGAACATTTACACGAGGATGCAGCTAAGGCTGAACAAGAACGCATTGAGAAACGGTAAATTGAATGAAGTAACAAAAAAAATGAAGGGGCTAAGGATATTCTTATTTTTTCGTTAATTTTATTGTTGTTAGACAAGCGGAAACGAAAAGGAAGCTCGAACAATTGCGTTCGGAGGATTTAAGCTTCGAAAGCATGGTAGAAGGAAATGATTTAGTCTTTGGGGCAGGTCTTCAAGAATCTCCATTGATTCTTGGTGAGGTTGAGAAACAAAATAGAGAAAATACTATACAACCAAGTTCTCGTGCAAAAGCAGGTGAAAAAAATAAAAAAAAGAAAGTCCATATGTTTTTTCCCCTTTCATTGTTTCCTTTCTTTTACATTTCGCTGTAATGTCACAATTGTTAATAAAGTAAAAATCATCGTTACAGATATAGAGAAAACGTCGAGAACACAAATGTCTCAGCGACGAATTTACGGCAGCATGTCTGGTCGTCAAAGAGGAACAATTCTGGAAACTAACGACAGTGCTGGCTCGCTTGATAGTGACAGCGATTTACTTATTGACGGAGATCTCGACGACGACGATGACGACGATGAGGATGACGATGATCTTTTAAATTCCGTGAGAGGAACGGATATAGGAAATTACGAACGCAAGGTGGTTGGTCAGGATAAACGATCTGTCAGCAAGCTCGATCATTCCGATGAAGATTTTTAATTTGAAATAATTTGAATCATATCTTCCGTTGATTCAACAAAATCAACAAAAGAAAGTTCATTCGTTTCGTCATTTTCTTTACCTTTATTTGGTGTGTATCATAAAAAATAAACAAAATAGAAAAAGATTGATATCATCGTACACCATCATCGTACCTATTCCATAGACATTACATGCAGCATAGAGTATAGACAAAAACTGATGCAAAAATTCGCATGATTTTTAATGCTTAAAAAACAAAGTAATGTTATATTGATATTGTTCAATTATGATTGTTCGACGAACAACGCATTTTCATTAATAATGAACGATGCCGAGATACAAATAATTAGCGGTAAATCGTTAAAATTTTCTTCTATAATACTCTCCTATTGGGTCTTTAATATTAAGTATTTCTAAGTACACATTGTACATACATTAACTATGTCTACGTCAGATATTGTTCCTATGGATATGCATAGGGAGTTCGTTTTAACACGTTGTGTGAATTTTGAGTGCGCTCATTATAAACAATAAAAATAAATGAATAACCAAAGAAAAGGAGTGAAAGTTATACATAAACTAGATGATTTATATTCATAAGAATTTGTTAACATTTTTCATGGTATATAAAATTGATCGTAAATAAAATGACAAAGTGTGAAATATTTTTTAATATATTGTAAAATATATATCGTGTTCATATCAAGTCGAAGGAATAATAATTACCTAAACGAGAAAAGGATCTTGAAAATGTTAAGACATTGGTGTATTGATTTATTGCCAATCGTTAAAAGACTTTAGACCGAAAAAATTAGGCCATGACTATCGTATTAACAGTCTTTTGTTAACAGAGATTGGTTTTCCCTAGAAAGATATAATTCAGTATAAGCAGCTACTACAACGGCAGCAGCAAATAGTTAACAGTAGTCAAGTTATATTCTGCGGTAATCATTACAATGGTAGCCTTGGCAGCAGTCGACAAAATTAGTCTCACAGACATGTAAGTTAATTAATTTATAATATAGTTCTTATGTCTAAAAAAAAAATGATTTGTTAGCTGTGCGATATACACTTAAGGCCTGAAAGGCAGCAGAGTAGTGTCATTGACATTTACTACCACAAATTTTGGATCATCATACTTTCTATCTAACGAAGAAATACAAATGCAATAAAAATCAAATCGACTCGCTCGATGACATCGTGTGTACTATTTTATTATTGGTACATTTTCTAACTTTGAATATAATGACTTATTTATAGTGCAACATATAGAGAGGCTAAAAGTGTTGTTTGAATACAGTCCCGTTTAAGCGATAACGTCTTCAACATTTACTTGAAATCTTGGTTCGCTTGTCAATAATAATTTTCGAACGATAGACAGAAAGTATTGGATCCAAAAAAAGACAAAAGAGAAAGAAAAAAGGCAAAAATAGAATGATTGACTGCCACCGATGTAAACCCGATGTAAACCCGATGTAAAACCGATGAAACGTTAGAACGCACGCATAGAAATATCAAAAAGAAAGGATAGTGAAAAAACTAATAAACAAATGTCAGATAATAAATTAAACGCGAGACATCTGGGGTGACCCGGTTTTTCTGACTCCACGTAGAAAAATATTGTTGATCCACTTTTGACAAAATGGACACCCTCTTTGCATGTATAATCTCGCATAACGAACGAATTGGAATTGTTCGATCGAACCTCGATCAACGAAGGCAACGTCTATCCGATGATATCGTTTCTCATTTATCCTCTTTAGCCAATTATTCCGGTCGGTTATTAAGGAGATATAATAAATCCTTCGAATTTAGAGCTTCCGGACGTAAGCCAAACAGGGTAAAAACTTGTACGGTTACCCTGATGAAATTTGATTAAACACGCCTGTGAATAATCGAAAGATTCATCGAGTTTGTTAATCGATCGATCAAGGGTTACCATAATTGTAAAAATAGGTCCTGGCGACCCTCGGCGTGCTAGTTAAATTCCTAATATCCCATGGGACTTTAACGATAGTCTTTCGCTACCTAACTGACTTTCCCAATGGGCTAGTTTTTATTCGTGGCGTCATTATTGGCACGGGATCCAATTCAGGCAAGGTACACTCGTTACTAAGATCTGTCCAAGCTCTATTAGCATTTTCTGCTAGCCTATCCTTGTATTTATAGGCCGTTCTATCGACCACCGAGGGTGTTTTTATACAATCGTCGCCACCAAATTCGCATACTCGATAATGATGTAATATGGCAGCGTCCAAAGGCATGTTCAGAGTGCCATGTCCAGGTATGAATTCCCAAACAAAATGATTGCCAGCTTCAACGACTCCTTGAGGCTTGCAAACATATTTCGATCGTTGTTTGTGCGGATGTAACTTAGTTCTTCGTCTAGTTTTTTTTAACGTGATCAGACCAGCTTCGGTTGGTGTCCTGCTTTTCGTTACAAATGGATCGTCCGCCCATTGTAAATAGAAAAAAGCGTTTTGAAAGGAATACGCTCCCGTTGATTTGGTGTTTATTCGATTGCTCATCCACCTGAAAACGTACATTTCACTGAATAAAATGAATTTTTGGTTCTTCTCTTCCACCTTCCCGATGCAATCTCTTACCTTATAAGATCAACTATGGTGTCATTGTGACGCGGTATGATGAACTCATCAAGATCGACGAGTGCTACGTATTCATATTTATACATGGACCGATAAAGACAATCATTTAAAGCCGCGAAAAGTCCTTCCGTTCGTATTTCTCGTTGAGAAATCATGTCCAAACGGTGCCAAGGTAAAATAGTTACCAGGCCTTTATTCTTGTAATACTTGAGGGCACAATCGGCTTCATTACCGACTGTATCGTTGTAAAGAGTAACGTGAGTTGCACCAAGTAATCTGTACAGCTCGATAAATTCAACCAATTGCAATACCTGAATAGTAAAAATATCAATTCAGTAATAGTAAGCAATTTGGATAAAATCAATACTTCATTACATACTCGATTGTAATCGTAATGCAAAGGTTTTACACAAACTGCTAATGGCTCTCTGTCCTTCAATCTATCCTCGGGTCGATTCAAAACAAGAATTCGATTGGTCGGAGTTGCTCTTAATTTAGCTACGACGCTAATGGCTTCCGGTATACTGTCAGCCATAATCGATTCCTTTGGTAAAGGGCAGATAACGAAACAGGCGCTATATTTCAAATTCCAATTTTCTCTGATCACCTATGTAAATCATAAACAATTGGGATAGATCAATTAAAAAAGAAAAAGAATAAAGAATAACGAAATCAAATGATACATCATCAAATGGTATTTTACCTTTACTTTAGCAGCCACTGTTACCGAGGCTGTTACATTTCCACTGTTTTGCTGACGATACCAAAGTCTACACCATACTCGTTCCGGTCCTCGAGTTTTCGTTGCACTTATAACTCGTACTATCCCTTTGTTAACGTTTCCAGCCGCCACTCTGTCGTCGTAGTATGCCGAATAAACGAAGAATTTGAATCTGCAAATGAGTTAGCAAATGAGTTATATCGATTGTTTATACTTGCAAACTAGCAAACTTGTCTGTACTTGCAAATAATTGTTGAATTTGTTCAATTAAAGTTCAATAAAAATTCAATTAATTACTTTAAACGGACCTAGTATTAGTAACTGGTAACCACTCGGCATGCGTGACCTTTAGGCTTTGGTCTAATTGCGGTAAACGTGCTTCTAAACTAGGCGGTAAGCTTGGTAGGATCCTCGGATCGGCGTGAATCGCTGCCTTCTGCCCGCCTTCCTCACCATGAACCAATAAACCAATATGATCGTCGAAAGTACCCTTTAAGCCAATGTAGTCTTCGGCCTGTAAAATCATTAAGAAATAATTCGATATCGGAGAATATGATGCTGATCGTTTATGCGTTATAATAGAAAAGAAAGAAAGTTAGAAGAATTAGGTGATAGATCAACACAACCTTGACACGTGTTAGGCTAGACAAATCTCTACTATTTAATAAACGAGCAAAAGATAGTTGATCATGCAGTGTCAATCTTATCTCTATTGATTGAATTTGCACGCCCACCTACGATTGCAAGTGTCTTCGAGAATTGTAAATTGAATTCTATGAAAATGCTACGATGATGATGATGATGATGATGATGATGATGATGATGATGATGATGATGATAATGATGATGATGATGACGACGATGACGATGATAATGATGATGATGATGATGATCATGATGATGATGATGATTATGATGATAATGATGATGATGATCATAATGGAAGTGATGATGATGATGATGATGATGATGAAGGTGATGATGATGATGATGATCATGATCATGATCAATGACACGATGACGATGATGATTATAAATATAAAATTTTATTTGTTTCTGTAAGAAATGAATCATTTGATATTGGTATATACTTGATTGACCAATATATTGAGTAATTCGAAATTTTTAATATAAAACATTAGTAACTAGAGACAATTCCAATATTACTTATTATATTGGTCAGCCTAGTTTACACTCAAATATAGCAATAGAATGATTTTCATTGAAATCTTTGTCGAATAGCAAATAAATAGTATTTCGGAAGGAAAGGGAAAATAAATCGATATATAAGAACAAAATGATGAGAAGAGATGGAAGATAAGGTTTTCCACTTGCGCTTTTTTTATTCTCAGATGGCGAGAATGATAGAGAAAAAGAGGCCGAGTACAAAGTTGAGCCTAGGTAGTATTAGTTCGAAAGTCCTTTTTCTAAGCTTTCCCTCGTTAGGGGATTATCAAGAGCTAGTAGGATAGTTGAATGGAAAACTCTATCTTTTCGTTGGATAAATTTCCTCTACTATGTTGAAGATGCACAAGAACAAGTCAGAAAAAAAGACAAGCGAAAAACGAGCGAAAAACGAGCGAAAAACGAGCGAAAAACGAGTGAAAGACGAGTGAAAGACGAGCGAAGGACGAGCGAAGGACGAGCGAAGGACGAGCGAAGGACGAGCGAAAGATGAGCGAAGGACGAGCAGACGTACTCTCTCTCTCTCACTTTCCTTTAATTAATTATTACATTTTCCAATATAAAGTTCAATATGTATTTATTTGTTTTTTCTCCCGATTATCTTTTCTATTAATCTAAAGTTCCTACTTTATTTTATTTTTTTGTTCATTGGCAATTACATAATTAAACAATTAAAGTTATTAAATCAAGTAGATTTGATCTTGATTTATAGACCAAGAGAATCGAGAAATAACGAATGGTGTTTTAACTTGATCATTTGAACTTACTCCGATTTCACCGTAATCTGGACGATCCGGTGCTGCTGGTAAACGATGTCCATTTCTGTGACCACCTAGTGCACCCGTACCGCTAACGTTTACACCTCGTCTTTCGTCGATCAGAAATATCTCCGTGAGAACGATCAAACCAAAAACGGCGAAGAACATGACTACCAGCATAAAGGACATGTTTGCCCTTTCCTTCAGGATCCCAGCGTTTCCTCGAGCCCCACCGGAACCTGATCGTCGGGCACCCATGCTCGAACAACTCTATGCAAATCAAATAATAAACGGCACCAAGTAAATATAAGTCTTTTTTCCTATTATTTCGTGCATTTTACATATAGTGTTTTTTTTCAATATAGTGTTTTTTTTTTTCAATGTTTTTTACAATCCTTCAGAACATAAACGCACCGTCAAGAAAATTAGTTTCCTTATACAGTATGTGGTGTGTGTGTGCGTGTAAGTGTATACGAGCGTTCTTAAAACAGATTTCCTTAACTCGCAGGTTCAACCGCTCCATGCAAAGTATTGATTTTCCCTTTTAAAATGCAACTTGAGTACTTTAACGTTTCTTCAGAAATTTCTTCTATGCATCTATGTGTGTTCGTACGCGTTCGAATAATTTGACCGTCTTAAGGAAAAACTTTGGAGTTTAGTCATAAGAAAAAAGCTTTATGTTTCAAAATATTAAAATTAAAATTTATTTTATATAATTGGTACCCCCCATCCGATATAGTTCCCCTATGTATTCTATTCAATTCTTTATATAAAACTTACCTAAAAGAGATCCAGAAAAATTGCTGTCAAGCATGAGGACGGTAGCGTCTTCTGAAATACATAAATAAAGAAACATTATACAATTTTTTATTTGTTTTTTTATCTCCTTGAAATTCCGTTACGAATAAACTCTCAATACTTTATAAATATAATTATTAACGTAACAAAATCAAATTAAATTCAATCGAAACGTTTTCTGACGTTACAAAATTTTATAATATTATTTTGAATATAATTTCTATAGATTTTAATATAACATACACTTTCCATACTCGTTGTTGCAGATCTCATCGATAGAAATTCTTCTAAAAGTTTACAAGTATGTACGTATTATAGATGTGTATGAATTTAATATTGTCTTAGACATTCTACCCTCCTTACATTGCCGGCCAAAAGTATGAAATCACTAAGTAATTTCAAATGTACTTTTAAACGGAGATGGATTTCTTTGTCAAAAAAAAAAAAAAACTGACGAGTGGTTACATTTTGTATTATTTCTATTTTTGAGTATTCTTCAAAAATCACCTTAATGAAATGGCAATGATTATTAGTTAATTAATTAATTCCTAGCGTTGCCTTAAACTGGACAAGTGTTGAAAGTGATGAATAAAAAGTAATTCAACTTATTCATATTTGATATGTAATAACGATAGATTATTTCTAAATTTTTATTATGTTTTATTATTTATTGTATAAATATTGCATCGTGGAAATAACGGTTGAAACAAAAGAAAACGATAATTATAAGTACTGTCTCGTATTATTTTAATTCTCGTATTTCGTGTAAAAGGTAAATAAAAGAAAACACAGAAAGAAATGGTCCATAACATAAATCTATTTGAACTAATGTATGCTCGTTTATTTTCTTTTGAAATTGCGCTTAAATATCGATGATACTGTAGTCTATTGCAAAACGTCAATCTTATCGTAGCTAATTAGTTTGGACTATGCACGCATGTACTTATTACTTATAAAGTTTAGTACTTATTCCTGCATAATATTTTAACAACGGGACGATAAAATGTCCATTATCTTGGACGAATTAATAAAGAAATCCTGGTTCTTTCACCTTCTCAACCGCAACTTGAAAGCATTGTCAGAAATAATAATAATAGGAAATAATATATAATCGAATTACTTACAATTAGTTTCCTTTAGATTACTAAAGTCAAGCGCAACGTGTACGTGTGCGTGTATGTGTATATGTATGTGTATGTGTATATGTGTTTGGTAAAAGAAAAACCCCGCGCGTGCTGTTGACTCGAACCCGTAAATGATACAATGATATAGACAAAATAAAATGAAATAAGGTAGAAGTGAGTATTCGGTACTCACACTTTCGTCCGAAAGAAGAAGGGCGTTCTTGTCGTAGAAATGCTGTGCAAGCTTGTTCATCCTGTTTCCTCTTGTTAGTGATTCTCTTCATTCTCTTTCATTGACCCCGTTCCTGGTAAGAGAAAGCGAACGACACCCCACGGAAAAAATGTCTTGCTCTTTGTTTTTGCGCTCGAGGGAAATATGATAATAATAATGAAAAGCACTAAAACTAAGAATAAGTTATAAATATAGGTCCGATTGTCCTCTCTCTCTGTTAGGGTATGATCGGTGTCTATCGGGGTCTATCGGGGTCTATCTTTCGCGCGCACGCTCACCTCGAATAGCGACATCGATCGAAGCACCCTCTACTTAACCGTCCACGTTGATTGGTCCTTATATAGGAGATGCGCGCTAATGTCTAAACGTCTAACGAGCGCTTGCGCCTTATAATATGAATTTATTACGAACATTTGCTCTCATTTTTCATAAATAATAATCAAATAATTGTAATTTTTTAAATGGTCCAAAATTGCATTGATTAATTCAAATTCATTCGACAAAATATCTTCCATTAAACATAGATAAATTTTTGCGTAAATATTTATCGATAAAATCGTTGATCAATTTGTAATTATAAATTCGATAAGATCATTCAGTGATAATATATCGTGGGGATTCATTTCTTTTTAGATATGCCATTCTTATCATTCAATTGGTATATAACTAATTGTCGACGTTAAAAGTGTCTTCGATAAATAAATTTGATGAACAAATTAATATTATTTTCATAGGCTATTTCGCTTCAGACCCTACTATTCATAAATATCTGAGGTATACTTCCACAATTGTTAAATGATAGCGACAGAGAGGAATCATAATTGGTCAAAATATTTTGTAATTTCTCTGACCAATTCCAAAAGATGAGCTTTTGTTGTCTGGCTTCTAAATCAATATGAAGTAGAGCGAGATTTTTAACTACCGTCGAGTCGATTCTCAAAATGTTACGGCCTTCTATTATTACCGGTATATTTACGGTACATCTGTCACACCTAGATAAATATAAATAAAAATTTTAATCAATATATTGTGAAAATGTTCGAAAATGTTCGATTTTGATTTCACATCAGATCAGATCGAATCATCTGATTATCTTACCATTCCATCACTTGTTCTCTTAAGTATTCTGCAGCTGGAAAACTCAAGGATTGTTTGGGTAAGACGAAAAGCACGGTTATATCGTCAACAGCGCGTTCTTCGATCAATAGGCCAGGTCTGGCCGTAAAATAAAGTAGGTGAATAAGATTAATCGCGATACCAGCGATCATACCATATTCCAAGCTTAAAGCCAAACAACATATCAGAGTAACTATCAAGGGTACCATATCAATTTCTGTGAAACAACAACAACAACAACAAACAAACGCATTAAACTAATGTGTGCTAAATGCGCAACAGGTAAGAAGAAGAGAACACTTACTTTTCGTGCGCCAAAGAGTAGAAAATACGTCCACTTCAAACATATAATACATTGCAATGATTATTACGGCAGCTAGAGTGGCTTTCGGAATGAACTTAAAAGTCGACGTTAAAAGACCACACGCTAGTAAGACTAGAATACCGGTTATTATGCCACCCATTGGAGTTTTAACGCCGGATGCATTGTTCACCGCGGTTCTGGTGAAACTACCGGTCGTTGGCATTGATCTAACGAAACTTCCAATAACATTGCACAGTCCAACCGCTAACATTTCTTGCGTTGCATCCAAAGTCTTTCCTTTGGCTATAATTTAAAAAAAAAATACATCAAAATTCATATAGTAATTAATTGAACAGTACGATAATTAACTAATAAACGAAGAGATAATGGTTCAAAGATTAACAAGCAAAGGCTTGTGCTTTAACTTGTAATTCGTACAATCGCTTAAGATATGCAAATCTTTCAATTGATTTTATTTTAAATAATACAATCATGTCAACCTTTGTTGTCCTACCTTTACTTTGATTATTAATGCTTTTTAAAAGTCGATAACACACGCGTTCTAACACGTGTAATAACTAATTCCGTTATTATTTGCATATACATATAGACATAGATAAATAACGTATACGATAGTGAGTTTTGCATTATTGCCTGCTTTTGATCTACTTTTTTCTGCTCAAATATACATATCTTCATCGAGTATTTATAAGACCATTAGAGTGCATAAGTTCATTTAAACGCATAACGCAGTCGTTTGTTTTTCTTCACTTCAATTATTTTTAAATTAATTGTTGTCTTTTTCAATTGAAAAACACATACCGAAAGCCTTAGCAATAGCAACACTTTCCAAAATGGCGATAGCTGGTATCGATACGATACTACCACCAAGTTCTTCGATCAATTCGGGAAAATAATAAGTCTTGTTGCCAGAGTCTAGAGAAAATGGCGGTGGTCTGAAAGGTGGTAGACCTTCTGTAATGTTTCCAGTAATCATGAAAGGTTTAAGGTCGTATAAAGATAAGACAAAAGCCAAGACTGTACCCATAACAACGACCACTGCATTTCTAGCCAAACAGGCCAGCCACATCATTTTTTCAAATGTAGTTCCCTTTTTTTTACCAGGTAAATTCTGAATTAATACAAAAATTGTTTCATTATTTAAGATTACACAAGTCAAACGTTATACAAATAATTATCACGATTAGATAAATCGTCATTAATTTACCGATTAGATATAAATCTTTCTTATTATCTTGGAACTCGGATTGAAGTTCTTTTTTTTCTTTTTTTCTCTTTTTTTCTCTTTTTTTCTTTTTTTTCCTTTTTTTTCTATAATTTTATATAATGAAAATTGATGATAATTTTTGCAATGATACTAACCTTTAAACAAACTAACAATATTATTGTTACGACGCCAAGAAGAGTATCCCATAATGTTATGCGATCATAGCGATCGATTATTTGACTGATCGAGTCGACAAAGGAATCGCTTCTACCTTCTATGCCAAGGAGTTTCCCTAATTGCGAAGCTGCTATGATAATTGCTGCTGCATTAGAAAAACCACAAATCACTGGCATGCTTATAAAATCGACAAGAAAACCCAGTTGAAATATCCCCATTGCTGTTATTACGCATCCTGATAAGAAACATATAAGAACCTGCAAAAAGTAGTAATATTATTAATAGTATTTATGATTTAGTATATCATTTATAACAAATTAATAAAAATCTATATTTATATATTCCTTACAGCAATATCTTCTCCTAATTTCACGACATGATGTTGGGAAAGTAACGCCATTATGGCCGTAGGACCTACGGTTACTTCTTTTGTACTACCAAACACCAAATACACGAAACATCCCATGAAACTGCTATACAATCCATACTGTAATTTACAAAATTCAAATATCATTGTTTTACAATGATATATTAAATACGTTCCAATAAAATATTATCCAATTAAACATTAACCATTAATATCTTCATTTATATTTATTTAAATAATGTACCTGAGGTGGGAGACCAGCGACGGTTGCATAAGCTATACCTTGTGGTATAACAGTCAATCCGACTGTAAATCCCGCCAAAATATCTTGCAAACATTTTCCCAAGCTATAAAATCTTAACCAATTTAAAATCGGTATTCTTCGAACAAGGATTTCCTTGATGTTACAGTCTCGAGTAGAAGAAAATATACTTCTCCCTATAGATATAAAGAATAATTAAATAAAGAAAATCATCATATGTTCATTTGTTCGTTTGTTCGTTTGTTCGTTACGAATAGTTACAAACAAAACCCAAACATTTCAAACAATTATTTCCTATATTTATATATCAACGTACACAGAACCATATTTTTGCGATGAATCGATTAAAACATCACCGCAACAAATTCTTCAAGTTTTTGTTATATAAAATTAAAAATAAAAAGTTAATTAAACATGAATAAACGTCAAGCAGAAGTTAATTATTAATAAGAAATTAATTATTAATAATGTTGTTGTTACAAGCAACATGAAAAGACTGAACTACGCTAAACGATTAGAGCGATATCAGCTACCAATAACCTTTCTTTACTGATGCGAGAGTTATTTAGATTGGATTTGAAATGAGATAACACGCGATTGATGCACGATTACTCGCCATTTGTCTGATAATACTATTCAAGTGTACGACTATAAAATATTTTACAATATGACAACATTTATTGTTATTATCATCCAAATTTTATTCTCGAATAAACTTTATTTAGATGTGGATTCATTGTAAACGATATCTCAATTTATAACAGAATTATAGTTACTAATAAAATCATTAGTATGTTTCGTATTGAAGAGAAATTTGAACTATCCTGGGGTATTTTTTTAATGCGCAAATGAAAAAAATATACAAAAAGTTGAAACAAAATGAAATAATGTAATTAAATTGAAAAAAAAAAAATACTCTTATCATCGCAGTCGGTAGGACTCGAACCTACGCTCCCAGAGGGAATCTGATTTCTAGTCAGACGCCTTAACCACTCGGCCACGACTGCTTTTATGAATAATTACAATTTATTAATTTTATAATAACTAAGTAAGTATAATACAAAATTCTTATATTTTAGAGACAAATCTTGGAAAGCAAAAAATTAAAAAAAAATACAACATCAATTGTCAAGATGAAAAAATTGTAAGAATTCATTTTGAAATCCAACTTATAAAATTCGTGCTATAAATTGACGATAATCCTTTTAACACCGCAAAGTGATTCTACACAAATACCTAACTTAAGAGAGATTAAAGCTCATTGACGAGCTCGTTTAAATCTCATAATCAGCAAAAAAGATTTCTTTTTTATAGCATTTATACAAGCGAGATGAAGTTTCTTATCTATCGTCGAGACCGATATAAAAGAGAGGAAGAGAGAGAGAGAGAGAAACAGACAGACAGACAGAGAACAAGAAAAAAATGAAGAAATATTTAATAAAACAACTGGTTTTTTTTAATAATAATAAGAATGTTCATTTTATGAAGTATAAATTATGCTTCAGATGATTAATTTCGATTATTAATTATTGGATATCGATATAGAATAAAGAAAAGAGATAATATTTAAGTGATTATTTGAAAGATATAAGAAAAAATTATCGAAGATAATTATTATTAAACAGATTTTCGTGATTGTATATCATATTTTCTTCCAAACATTAGTGAAATGCTGGAATGAGAGGAAGTTTTTATTTTATCAAAAGTATTTACTATCTATATACCTGACATTCAAGATGCATACATACATATATACTATAAAGGATAATTGAAGTAACTTACTTGTCGTTAACAATGGCCTTCTTTCATTAACGTTCCCTCGAAGAAACGACATAGCGTGAAACTGTCGGCACTACTGGATTCCAAGCGAACGTATCAACCAAATTTTTTTGTAACATTCATAGAAAAGAGTTCATTCTGTCGATAAGACAGAGTATGAACTAGTTTTACCAGTAACATTTTTCAATTACTCATATGCCTATGCATATATTGTATATTGAGAGATATATTGTATATTCCATTAGATTAGACGTATTAATCAATTCGTTGATAATTTTTTGAATTTCACATTAAATTATTGCCATCATTACATACATACATTAAAATCGAAGTGACGGATCATATAACGTTATACAAAGAAATTAAATACGGAAAATCCGTTTAACTAGTAATATTTAATTATTCCCACATTATGTTCCTTTTATTTATACCTCCTTACACATGTTTCAACCTTCCTTATATTTTCCCAGATTAAGGATGAGAAAACTAAGGTCGTCGACTAACGTCATTTCTCTTCTTTCGTCTTTGTAGAGATGAAGAATACTTTCGTGTGAAACTACCATGAGAAGAAAAAATTACAATCGGAAAGACAGAAAGCACATTCCAAAGTTGCATAATTAGCTACGTAACGTATACTTATGTGGATCCTCGTTAAGAATATCCGTTTTATTAATCCGAGACATTACTAATAAATATTTGTTTTATTTTGTCTTATAAATAAATGAATTAGCATAAAGTTAAACAAATCATTTACCCAATAAAATTGATCATATATAATATTAATAAAAAAAAAACGTTTTTAACAATTTTACTAATTTTAGATCCATCCCTCGATTCATCTCGATTTTATTCATCAGAAACCTATGTCGATAAATACTGTATAAAAAGATTCCTACCTTATTCGCGTGTAACTTTAGATAAAAGATAAAAGAGAGATGCGCGCGCGCGTCTCCACATTAGTAATTCTACGAATTACCATACGTTGATAAATTAACAACGCAAGATTCTCTCTCGTAAAAATATTTACGAACACTTGAGAGAGAGTCATAAGGTTTTTCCAAAATTTTGTAATATTAGGGGAAAGGATTTTTAAAGAGAGACACAATTTCCAACTGCGAGTTAAAACAAAATACATTTTTGTTTGATATATAATTATGATAGTATTATATGGTTTAAGCGAAATATAAGAATAAGAAACAAAAAGCGTATCGACGAGGATGGGATTCGAACCCACGCGTGCAGAGCACATTGGATTAGCAGTCCAACGCCTTAACCACTCGGCCACCTCGTCACTATATTTCACATATCTGTCTTTAAGTCAATTGCTCAATAATTTTTTTACAATTTTTTATTTTTGTCAATTATTTGTTCTCTTTTTCTTTCTTACCCAAACTATCGCTTTGAGTATCATTTTAAAAACATAATTGATGCGATTACTTGCTGTGTATAAAAAATACAGAAATATTAATGACCTTTATCCAATAAATTATTTCATCAGAAAATATGTTTCGAAAGTCAATTTCAACAGAAGCTTAATTAATTCTAACGACATCTCATTTGCTATTATATGCCGTAATTCAAAATAGGATTGTTCTTTTCTTCTATTATCCTAATTCAAAAATTGCGAGGGAAAGTGAGAACAGTCAAAAGGAAATTGTAGTATAATACCTAAAGAATTATAAACAGATAATTTTACAGTACTTCCCAACTAATAACAGACATCGTCTAATTTTTCCTGTTATTATATATATACTTTTATACGGTAAAATTCCAATTAGGTATAAACTTAGCTTTTCTTTTTTCAGTAGAAATTAATATTTTTCGTTGAAAAATATAAAATGTCAGGTTTGATTTTATCCTTAATAATAGTTTTCGTAATCATATTACGCGTTTATAATAAATGAACTTTTCTTCATTGTAAACCAAAAGGGGAAAAAAAGAGATGAAAAAAAAGAAGCTCTTATTGTCATGAATATTCTTACGTAGTAGCATGAAAATGATTAATTTCACGGTAATTCGATCAGCATCGATCATCATCGAAATTCAAGGAAATCGTTAAATAGCTTTTGCAATATTTTTCGAACAAAAATATGTTTTGATTGCGCGAGATCGTGTATCATCGGTAAACAGAAAAATTGTAAAGATCGTAATTTGCGCGAATTCCATTCGTAATGTGCCATTCGTAAGCGATCGGTAGTATGATGTAACGGAACCGGAAGTCAACGTAAGATAACAATTGAAGTGACGCCAGGAAAAAAAAAGAAAAAAAAGATCCTTTTGCATCTGTCTCTTTCTACTGTCGAACGAACGAACAAACGAACGCATGAATAAAACGAAAAATCGTTCAAGAGTTTGTTCTTTTAGTTATTTCGTAATATCTAGTTGATAAACATTACTCATCGCTTCAATAATCATGTTCCAATTATTCGTCAATATAAATTACTTAATGTTCTGTTATCATCGACAACTAAATCTAAATCCTTTATCCTTCTTTACTGGTTTTTTTTTATAACAATCGTTACTTATGTACTTCCTTTATATATATAGAAGACTGTTGTTATTGGATATAATACATACGCTACTTAGAAATGTTGTAAAATAAAAATGTACATATGTACATTTCAAAAAAGAAACTTAAGAATAGCGGACTTCCTAAGTGATAATTTTGGCAGAGACCTTATGCGTGTTAAAAGCAAGGACCGAGCGTTTTCTTTTTTTGTATCGAAGAGCAAACTGGTTTTGGTTTCGTATGCTTGACTAACAACTACGCACCTTTCTATCTAACCCATTTTAAACTGGCTTATTTTTTGCTTGACTTAAAGTTACACGTATAATCCTTCTATGCAACTATACAACTTTATTTCGTTTTGATTAAATACACAATTGCTAACGTGATCAATGAAATAATAATGAATAATATTTGTCGAAGTTTTATTGCGAATAATTCAAAACGGTGTTATAAATCAACTTGATTTTGTATTGACTCATTTTGTATATGTTTTACATTAAAAACTGCATTCACATACACACACATGCCATTTTATCGTTTTATCGTTTCACACGTACCAACATTCATCGTAATGCCAATTCTTTGTTTTTTTTATTATTATTATTTTCTTCTCGTATCTACACTTGTTCGATCGATTTAACAAGAACGAATAAAAAAGGAACATACGATCTCCTTCGAAATATAGTTGATACACGAAAAGAAAAGTCGCGCAAATTGTCGTTGCCAATAGCAAACGCTCTCTAATTCAACTTATGACTGAATAGTTGAGATACCACAAATTAAGAGGTGCAGAAAAAAAGGGAATATATGTACAGTGAGATACATTAATAATAGCTGATGAGAATAAATTGTCTCAACAAAATATTCTTTAATTGTAAATACAATGTACGTGTATATATGTTTCACATGCGTATCGTTATCTTATCACTAAATGACATTCTCATAAATATTAAAAGGACGACAAAATCTGTTTGTCGAATTCTTTATGTCTTATATTTAAGCTTATTGCGTATATTAGTTAATGTTAGTTATTTCTTTAAATTAATCGTGCTAAATTAATGCGCCAATATTTCTCTTACTTCTTTGTAATTGTAGTAAGTCAATTTTAATATGTTCAAAATAAATGATATCTTAGACAATCATTTTTCCCATATAGTTATTACTAATTTATAATATATCTTTATATACAAATAAAGATTGAACTTATAAACCCAAAGAAATAAATAAAATTGTGCATTCTTATTATAAATGAATATTATTAATATACTGTACTGTACATATATAGAATACACATACAGGATAAAAACAAGGGAACAAAAGGAGAGTTGTTAGTAGGAAGGGGGGGAAGTACACGAAACATTATACGGACCAACCAAATGGCAATCGCTTCCAGGTGATCGCGTGCAGGTGAGCCGCCAACTTTGACTCCCACACGAAAGGAAGAGAGCCCCATTCGCGCGTGTTTTACGAAGTAACCAACTTGCTTCTTATGAGAAGTGAGCGGACTTTTAACGTTCGTGATCAGTCTACAGTGAACTGAGTTTACCGTTCAGTTTTATTTCTCCTTCCATCTCTCCCTTCTTTCTTTCTTTATTTAATAATAAATATCTCTCTTCATTTATATCAAAATAAAGAACGAAGGAGAAACAAAATAAACGAGTAAATTGATATTACCTATTTTCGTCAAATTTCGTTTTATCTTGTGTTTGTGTGTGTATGTGTATGTGTGTGCATGCACGCCCCTAGTGATACATATTTATATATTTATTAAAGTGTATTCGCGAACATTCCAAAAACCGTATGTCGATATATCAAAGTGTCGAATATAAAATGATGTCAACGTAAGCGAACGAGAGAGCTATAATAACGGTAAGCTTTCAAGAAATTATGTGTACATTAGCATTACTTACGAATCTTTTTTATTTCCTTTTTTCTTCCTTCTTCTTATTTTCTCTTTTGGTGAGTTTACGTGCTAAAATACGATAAATAAACTCATTGGTTAATACGCTCGAGAATTCTCCACACACACAATGATTATGTCAAACTTAATAAAAACAAAATCCGTATGTGTAAATGTAGGAACGCGCGCATGTGAGTACAATGAACGATAGCACATGCCTAACACGTGACATCTATTAATTTTAAATTAAATTGATTAGAACGTCAAGTTAAACAATTTACCACCACGTGTAATATTTGTAGATTTTGGTATAAAAAAAAAGAAAGAAAAAAAGAAAGAGAGAGAGAGAGATGAAATTCATGTGTAATAATCCGGCAATCGTGCGTGCGTTATCGCGTCCTTCGTTCTTGCATTATTAGTATAATATTTTATTATTGTTATAGTGGACTTGTGTATATTTTTGTGTTACAATGATGTATTACTTGATACATAACCCTTAAGAAGTAAAAAAAAAAGGAGTTATTAAGAATATGAGGAGTATTAAATGCGAGTTTTGGACAGCTTTTAAAAGAAAATTTGATGTAGATTGAAATATTATTTGCTAACAAATTTGCTAATAATAAAAGAAAAAAGAATGCAAGCGTTAAAAAGAGTAGACCGTTTTAGATATTTAACTCGTACGGGGAAAGCATTATCCGGCTTTATGTAGAATTATAGGCCTTTTCTAATAAACTTTCTTCTTATACACTTACATATACGTGCCACGACTGAAGGAATAGCACCAGTGATCCCAGAGACTTCAGCTTGTCTGATCGACACAGGGCCGTAAAATTATCGTACGCACAGGAAAAAATTTGGAATTTTAGGAATTTTGGATTTGACATTTCTGATTTTCAGAATTTTTTTTTTTGCAGATTTGAAAATCTGCAAAAATATCTGCAAAAAGAGTTAAAGTACCAACTTTTTCAAACTTGATGACCTTTTTTTTCTTCCTTTTTCAAACTTGATCCTTTTTCGTCTTCTAATTTTATTTTTCACGTTTTTCCTGGCTTTTTATGTGTTCCCGAGCTATTTTCAACTATTTTCAATTATTACCTGGCTCTAGTCACAAATAAATAGTCAAACTGTGTGCGCTAGGGTGCGCTGCAACCGACAACCGTCGTACAAACTAAATTTTGGATCGTATAATGCTTCAAATTATGTGACGCGTACGATAATTATCGTACGAATGGGATCACTGAATAGCACACTAATACGGCCATTTACTACCATTACGAAAACAAAAATCCCTTTTTTCATTTGAAATATCCTACATTAGCTTAGAAAACAATATAAATAAATAAATAAAAAAGAAATTTAATTTAATGATGTTTCATTTTTCTTCTTCTCATTGTTATTATCATATTTTATTTGTTAATTGTGTAAAGTAATTTTGAAAAGAAATGTACTTTAAATGCAGTAATTAACCATTTTACTTTTTAGTCTCCATTTATGTTATTAAAATTAATAATAATTATTATTGTGTAATAGGGTGAGCTATATAACTAGCTATATAACTAGTTCTTCTTTTTGTTAATTGATTTGAAACATCGAGTAAAAAAGTGAAATCATTGAAAAGTCAATGGCCTAGCTATGTTGAATTACGTACTAATTTCCTTTGAATCATTACAGTTAAATAATATACTGGCAATTAATAATAACAAATTCTTACATATTACAGAGAAAAAACTTTGAAAAGTTCAATATGATTTGAAAATTCATTCCTTTCCGACCTTGACCGATACAATAAATTTCATTGATTTATTGGTCAGGTATCGAAAGGTGTCATTGAGAAAGACAAAATTTTCAATCTATTATACATTATATAAAACTATTACATTATTTTATTACCATAACCATTGTTTAATTTATTATCGCAAACGAATGAAAAAAAGGAACTTTACGAGTGTATATCATCCGATTGATTATCACTTTTTCCAAGGACTCTCCTCAGGTAAAGCCTTGTGAATGGATTCTGCGAAACGAAAGGATAAAATTCTTGTGTGATTATATTTTTCCTTCTTTTATTATTTTTATTTATAATTTAGATAACCAATTAATTCGTTATAACAATCGGCTATCATTATTATTTTGGACTTTATACTATTTTTAGGAATACATCGTATAGTAAAAAGAATTTCTTTGAAAAATTATGATTTTATGAAATTTCAAGATTATCGGTAAATGAATAATACACGTGCTTATGCATTTGCGAAAAAAAAAGTAATGCTTGTGAATATAAAGTGTAACTTTAAAGAAAAAATATATACAATATTGAAAAATAAGAAAAGTAATAGTCGTTAAGAAAGTAATAGTCATTGGATTAGTCGGTATATACATAAGACAACGACAATCGTACACGAGATATTTCAAAATATACGCTTTCTCTTTCGTATTATGATCAAATAGTATTGGTCTTTTTTATATCCCATTCTTCTTTTATTCTTCTTTTTCTATTTTTCTGTAGTTTTTTAAATAACATTATTATATACCTTCGTTTTTTACAATAACCGGATATAATTTTCTATAATCATTGTCTTATAATCTATTATTTCATTTTGAAATAACATTACAAATATATATATACATACATATTCGAAAATCGATCCAACTTGAACGCGTCATTTTTGCGTTCGTGATCGTAATATTCGTAGTCGAAATAGAAGAAGGGGGTTTCCTTTTATAAAATAAAAAAGTCTCGATACATTGCATAATAACGTTAGCAGTAGTATCGTATACGAATAAATCATTCCCCCTTTTTACATATTTATTTTCAATACAAACAGAAAAATATAATAAATTGATCACAATAATTACAATTGTTTCCATTGCGTGTGCATACATAAAGAAAATGAAAAATGTCAAATAATGTTAAATAAAAAATAACAATTAAAGAAAAGTTAATTACGATTAATCTTTGACAAAGATCTTTGACGTCAAACGCATAATTAAAAGAAAACCGTCTTTTAGCATATATATTATAACAGGATCGTAATAAAATGTGAAAGGAAATCGAAAGGTAGAATGTCGTAGCTTACTGTCAATCGCATTGAAAAACGTGATTTCGTATTTAATTGAAAAGAAAAAGTATTGTTGTGGGCTTACCAATACTGTCAAACAAAGGTTTTAACGTTTTACAAAAATGAAAAAGTATGCATATATTTTGGTTTGTATAGATATTATAATATAATAAATATATAATTAGAAATTTTGCATCGAACGTAATCGCGATCGATTCATTATCCTAATCGTTCGCGATCACGTTACTAACGGTATATATCGAATTATACAAGTACAAACAACGGTCTGTTACTAAACTGTCCGAGAACTTCACTCTTCGCGTTCTTCGAACGTTCAAGTTCGCCAAGTCTTTTTTATATCTCTGAAAAAAAAAGAAAAAAGAAAATATAAATACTTTTCAAATTACTCCAAAGGATATATCAAATTTTTCAAGACAAAACAAATTTGTTTCCTTCTTCTTCTTCTTCTTTCTTTTTTAAATGGAAAACGTGAAACGTGACTATGATAGCAAAGTAATATAGTTGAAGAAAGATAAAAAAGAAAAGGAAGAGAAAAGATTTCAAGTGCAGTCAGTGAAAAAAATAAAAGTAAAATAAAAATATAACGTCATTCGTTATCTTTGCCTATTTGCCAATTAATTATCTCTCAATCGCAAAATTCGACTTTTATAAACGTGAAAAAAAGGTAACTTCTTAATTTTGTTTATTTGGAAACAATTGAATGAATATGAAATTTTACGAGACGTATATACATTTTACGACCTACGTTTTTATGAAGATTTTTTGTTCATCCAGCATCACACCACCAACAGTAATGGTAGTATGTACCGATGTACCGATGACTGGAGCGTAACGCAATTAATCGTGTTCTTATGTAATTACATTACGACAGTTATAAATATACATATGGCACAAGAATGAGTGTAGATAATTGCTTTATAGTATCCACTTTGCGATGGAATGTAGGTGAAGTTCACGCGTACAATGTATCGACAATTATCCGATTATGTGTATTGATTTGTAAACAAGAGCCGAAAATCTTCTATTATTATTATTATTATTATTATTATTATTATTATATGATCTCTCCATTTATTATTTTATTATTTGTCCATTATATTCATTTATAAATATTTACATATTAGATGCATAAAATCATTTTTCAAACAAACATGGAAAGAAAAAAATAAAATGATTAATCATACTATTAATGAGGACGATTTAAAGCTGATTGTGAGATAAAATTAATGATCACTTTTCAGTATCGTCGCTTATGATCGAATCGAAGAATGGAGTCTACTTGATTAAGATTTGATCGTTCGTGACCTTGGTATCAAAGAGAAGAAAGGACGAAGAAACGACATCGATATTATTGAGAAGAAATTTCTAACGAATCCAAACCATCCATCCTATCCTTTTCCTCCTTTCCTCTCTCTCTTCCTTTTTTCTTGTCCTTTCAAAGAAAAAAAAAATATATATATATATATATAAAATTGATGAGCTTGATGAAAAATGGCTAAATATACAGTCAAAGAAGAATACGATCTTGAAAATTACAAAGAAGTTAGACTGACCGGTTTTAACAACAACGATCCTGATCTAAGTAATAACCTTGAAACTAGACTGGCCATTATCCATCTTTCTAGCAAAGACGAGAAAGAGAGCAAAGATGACGGTGAGTATTCTTCTTCTTCTTCTTCTTCTTCTTCTTCTATAGGGACATATCTAAAAGACATATTTAACAAGCGATGTTTAGCAATTTCAATATTATTAAATAATTGTAGAACGAATTTTTGGATTTTCAATTATATATTTGTAGAAAAAAACATTATTTTTCCGAAAATATCGACGCGAAAATATAAATACATAATAAGGGAAATACATAACAATCACGCATGCTCGTGATTGGTAATATCACTCACCAAAGTCATTTTATTGAAATGTAACCTACGTATATAAATCGTAGACCAAAAAAAAATAGAGAAATAGGAATATATTAAATAAATGTACGTGACACATACATGCGATAGAAGTAAAACTCAATTGAAATCCAACAACAATTTTCCTTTATGAAAGACAGTCAAAAATAGGACACTTCCCGAAAATTATATACACACTTATAACGAAAATAATATATGCATAGTAAATAGAATTTATTCTTATAAATACTTCCCTCTCTTTTTTCATGTAGCTTAAAATAAATTGACCTAAGAAGTTTCACCTAAAAAATAAAAAGTACTTATAAAATTTATTTTGTACATTTATAATTTTAGTAAACCGTACCAATAACTTTATTCTACTTTCGTCAATGAAGAGTTGGTTATGTCGAAGAATAAAAAAAACGTGTAAAAAAAAGTTGCTTTACAAAAGGATACCTATTCTAGCATGGTTACCACAATATCGTAAAGAATTTATAGCAAATGATTTGGTAGCTGGAGTCACCGTTGGTTTAACAGTCATACCACAAGCCATAGCTTATGCCAATGTTGCTGGTCTACCTCTACAAGTAAGTGCATTGATTAATCATTTAAATAAACCTTTTAACGGTTCTATTAAAATTTCATTTTTTTTTTATTTTAATAATAGCCCCATAAGTATAAAGAAATGCGAATGCATGATATTTAAAGAAATAATAATACAAGAACATTTTAATATTTTTCAACATATTTTTAGAAAATGAGATTAGTATATATATGTATACATTATTATTATTGTTGTTATTATTATTATTATTATTATTATTATTAATTACCTTAACCAATTACCATTACCATATATAATACCAAACTTTTGAATATGATATTACATATGCACTCAGTAAAAGAGAATATTTATTAAACATTAATTAAATACTTATTTTCTTATTTATTTTATTTTACGTTAAATGAGAAATATTTTTATGTGTTTCAGTATGGCCTCTATTCATCTTTTATGGCATGTTTCGTATATACTATCTTAGGTTCTTGTAAGGACGTTCCAGTAGGACCAACAGCGATAGCTGCAATCCTAACAAGAGAAACCCTTCAAAAGTCTCACTTAGGACCAGACTTTGCTGTTTTATTGACCTTCGTTTCTGGCTGTATATCCTTACTAATGGGCATATTGCAATTAGGTGATATCACAGAGACAATTAAAAATCAAAATGATTTCAAGAAAATGCTATAATAACCGTGATAAAGATCGCATGAAAAGCAATTAATAGGTTGCGGAGTATAAGCACTAACTTCATATCCTTTCTCGCTAGTTGTTATTTAAGTCCATATAGATCTTTTCATTTAATCACTTTGATTGAGTAGATAAGAGAAAACAATTTTACGTTTAGTTTATATAAAATGAGACTCTTTCTCTCTAAAATAATATGTATTTCTTGTTTCTACTTAAAAGGTTTCTTACTCGATTTTATTTCGGGACCAGTCTCAGTTGGTTTCACTTCAGCCGCATCAATCATCATTGCTACCAGTCAAATGAAAGATATCTTAGGAATTAATATATCTGGTGGAAAGTTCTTAGAAGTCTGGCAAATGATCTTTGAAAAGATTAGTGATACGAGACCATGGGACACTACATTAGGAATTGTATGCATAATCGTTTTGTTACTTCTCAGGGTTAGTATGATAAATTTGTTATGATTAAATCGATCTATTCTTTAGTTACCTTGCATGCAACATGATCATATATCCATCTGCAGAAAGCCAAAGATTTGCCGATAATGACAAGAAATGTAAAGATGCCAACAAAAATTCAATTATCGCTGAGAAAACTTATTTGGTTGGTCTCAACTGCCAGAAATATCTTAATAGTTGTCATTTGTGCTGTTATTTGTTGGCTATTGGAAATTTATCTTGGCTCATCACCAGTCATTTTAACGGGAGAAGTAAAAGCAGGTTTACCGAATTTTCATTTGCCACCTTTCCAATCGAGTACCGGTAATGAGACCTATCACTTCAGTGACATGGTCACTGAATTAGGTTCTGGATGTCTAGTCGTACCTTTATTAAGTCTTCTGGAAACTATTTCCATCGCCAAAGTATTCAGTAAGAACTTACTATTTATAATATTATAAAGGGTGGTCCACAAAATGTGCTTATTCTCATAACTTTTTGGCATAAATTCCAAGGATCTAATTAAACAGAAAATGTCTTATGAACATATGGAGTCGCGAACCTTTGCCTTTGGAATTACAATGACAGTGCTGCTAGTAAGTTTTTTTGTAACAATTGAAAAATTTACCATGTCAAATTGACGTTAGACTGACATTGTAATTTTTATTTATGTGTCGATCCATGTCAACTGACAATGTCAAATTTATAAAAAAAAACTTGCTAATTCATATAATATTAGAACACATCGGTGAACGTGTTTCTTGAAATGACATTAGTTGAAATCGCTTCATTCTGAGAGAGCTATGTTTATTTTTTTTTTCGATTTAATGTCACTGAACCCTGTCTCTGTCGATCGAACAGAAAGTATAATGAAATTGACTCTACACCCAATGTGTTTATATTTAATGGGCTGTCCGTCCTATTATGTTCTTTGTAAAGCCGAAGAAATAAATAAACGCAGTTTATTACAGTTTGTACTTTTATACAATTATGCTTTATAAATTCAAAAGTAAGCGTTTCCATATTCTTGGGATATTTTCTGCTTATTCAGATTTCAAGAACTTACTTCCAAACTTTGCACAGATCATTCAGATACGCTACTTGTATAGAATTTTAGTTACAATGTTAATATTTTATATTACATAAAGCTGACAATTTTTTTTCTTAGATGATGGCAATCCTATAGACGCAACTCAAGAAATGTTAGCATTGGGTGTATGCAACGTAATTTCCTCTTTCGTATCATCGATGCCAGTCAGTGGTGGGCTCAGTCGAGGTGCTGTTAACCATTCCTCTGGTGTTAGGACAACTTTCGGTGGAATATATACAGGTCTTCTCGTCTTAGTATCATTACAATTTCTTACTCCATATCTTCGATATATTCCTAAGGCAGCACTCGCAGCAGTTATCATAGCAGCTGTGGTCTTTATGGTTGAATTCCATGTAATCAAGCCAATATGGAGAACTAAAAGTACGTGTATGCATCTTGCGAAATCTGAATCTTAACATTTGTTAATTCTATATTATATTATTATACCCATGATAACATATACTTTCAAATATACTTTTAATCATGTATTGCAATATATATTATTTTACAGATTTGATTATCAATAAATTATATTTCTTTTAGAGATCGATCTGGTGCCTGCAATCGTAACATTTTTATGCTGTCTCTTTGTGAGATTAGAATTAGGTATAGTGATCGGCATCGGTGTTAATCTTTTATTTTTGCTTTATGCATCGGCCAGACCATCTTTGCGAGTCCAAAAAGCTACGGTGAATAACTAACATTTTTCTTCACATTTCTAAAACAATATTCAGTATATAAAATTATATATTTTTGGTATATTTTTCTAGAGCATAAATGGCTGCGAATATCTTGTTATAACTCCAGATAGAAGTCTCGTCTTTCCAAGTGTCGAGTACGTCCGAGCTGTAATTAGTAAACAGGGAACAAAACAGGGTGTAACAGTACCCATTGTTATTGATTCTACTCACATTCAAGCTGTTGATTTTACAGCTGCTAAGGTTAAAGCCTCAAGAAAATACAAATTTAATGTATCTTTTTTTTTCTTATTTTCATCATTTTATTTTTAGGGGGTGAAGAATTTGATAGAAGATTTCTCAAAACGTGGTCAACCATTGATCTTTCACAATTTAAAGCCTAGCATCATTGAAATCTTCAGAGGAGTAAAACCATCAAGTTTGAAGTGTAGCTCTAGTGAACTCGAATTAAATGATTGTCTTAAAGGTACATTTCTATCAATAATAATAACACTTTTCAAACTGATTGCGAGTACCCACACTTATTTTTCTCATTCATATAACTTATTTTATTATTAAAATATAAAATTGTATTAAAGTTGATGTGTTATAGTATTACATTGATTATGTTGAATAATAGTATTTACTTTATTTTTATATTGTTAAGTTTTAATATTCTTTTTATAAACACGATCGATGTGAAATGCATAACTTGTAATATATTATAGCCGATATCAACAATATGTTAATTTATATTTATATTTAAAGTTTGATTTATATTAATTTCAATGATTAATAATTTTGTTTTGCTTGTATTTCAGAATATTCGGATATCTCAATGACAACTATAAGCAGGTATTGAATAAATGTGAATATTGTTGATGATTCCATAAACACACAGAAGACCGTCTTTCTTTTCGCTTTTGGCAGGTAACAGTATTATGTCAGCACTTTAGAATTAAAATGCCAACTGCGTTTATATTATACTTGATATTTATATTGACCTGATTTATATTATACTGTTGCTTACGTATGAAAAAATGATCCGCCGAAGTTGTTATGTAATTAATAATATTCTTTTATTTTTTGTTATATAATTTTTCATTATAGCCGTCCGCGCGATGTAGAATGATCGTTTATAGAAGGTTTGATTAACAAAAATCCCGTATAATAGTATTATGCTGTTTGTAATGTATAATATAATGTATTATTTAATATAATTATTAATTAATGAACCTTTTCAGTATAGAGAAAAACAGTCGTACGTTTTTTGACTGCTCTAATTGTAAGATTTTACATATATTGCATGACTAAGGATCCTTATTTATTGATAAAAAATTGAACGAAATGTATTCGTTAACCAAAATTGTCAAAAAACGTCTGACTGATTGTATATTTAAGCTTTATGATAAGAATAACGATAATCTTAACCGTAAAAAAAAAGATTAAAGCAGAACAAATTGTACATATATGTATATGTATGTAGAAAACAAAAAAAAAACAAACAAGAATTATGTATTATCAAGCACAAATCGGTGAAACGTTTGTAATAATATCTTTTATTATACACCATATTACTAAATATTACAATATGTACCTGACTAATTGGTATGTATTAAAAATTCTTTGGTATAATGCGAATATAGTTTACAATCAGCTATACAATGCAATAAAAAAAGAACAAAATGTAGTTATATGTCAAAAAACATGAATAATCTTGATAACTCAGAATGAAATGATCTTGGGAGAAAAATATTCTTTCTTGTGTTCTTTGGCATCTTACACATTATGTACAAAATATTTTTTACATCATAATTAGCCGAAAAGATATTTAGGTATACAATGTACACCGCATATAATCTATATAGATAATAAACACCATGTATAACGTAATATATGTATCTTATGATTAGAATTGTATAAATAAAGCTGTAAATTTTTCCTTTTTGAATTTTTTCGAATTTTTTCTCTCTTTCTATCTTCAAAAATATTAACACTACAAAAAAAAATGAATAAGACCTCTTTTGCAGAGAATTTATCCTAGTTTAATTTTGTATAGCATCAGTGTTTAATGAAACTCAATATTTTCCAAGATATTTAAGAAAAAATAAAAAAAGAAACCTTGTTCCTCCAGGAACACCGTCGAGGATTTTCAATATGTTGTAAAAAAAACACTCGAATGAACAACTATGCAAAATTTCTAAACTTTGGAATTTTTTCATCTTATTTGTCAATTTTTATTAGTTAATTTGACTGGATTATTTGCCCCTTTAATTAGATATTATTGAATTATTTTATAAAGATTCTTGTTTGTTTATTATTACATATCTTATTTTCCGAATTCCATTTTCCTATAAACAGATAATAAATTTTCATGATACATTTATTTTGTCTATTGTGTCAAGAAAGATTAAAGAACAATAAAAAGAGTAATTCGCTCTGTTTTAAATTAATTAATAATATTACATTGATCACTCACATTTAATAGTTTATATTCATTTCTCTTGCTCCATCAGCTGGGATTGCAATATAAAAGGATGGAGTTCCAGTATACCTAACAAATAAATGTAATATTATATTTGTGTAACCATTGTGTTAATTAAAAAATCTAACATATAATATAACTAACTTTGCTTTTATATTTTGAATAACATTATCAATTGCTTTTTTTTCTAATAAAGTAACAGTGCAACCGCCGAAACCTGCCCCAGTTAGACGACTTCCTAAAACACCATTAACTTCTCTAGCTGCAGCTACCAAAATATCAAGTTCTTTGGAAGAAACTTCATAATCATTTCGTAAAGATTCATGACTTTCATTCATTAAACGACCAAACTGTACGAAATCACCATTTTCAAGAGCAACTGTAGCATTAATTGTTCTTTGAATTTCACTGACTACATGACGAACTCTTTTCAACATCTCCTCAGAAGCATTCTGTGATTTTAATACTAAAATAGTAGTAATAAATGTTAGTTTAAATTTTCTATTGTCAATATTTATAAATGATAATAAAATATTGTTAATAAAATCACCTTCAATACTATCTAGCGTCGCTTCTCTTAAGCTCTTTATATTAAGCTTCTTTACAGCCTCGTAACAACAATCTCTGCGTTTGCAATAAGCACTACTACTTAGTTTGTGAGGTGCATTTGAGTTTGTAATTAGAAAAACATAATTATTTATATGTTTCATAGGTATATGCTTGGTTGAAAGATCTTTACAATCTAAAAGAAGTGCACAACCTTCCTTTCCCATCACAGAAATGAACTGATCCATTACACCACATGGTACCCCAGCAAAATCATGTTCTATTCGTTGGCATGCCAAGGCCTGTAAACTATGTACTTTTATTCAAATATAGAAGTTGTTTTATTTAATGTTATTATTTAATCTAACTCTTGTCCTATTAGCTATACGTATCAATATGTTTAAATATGGAAATTACCTTGTCTTCAGGTTTTTCCAACTTATGACCGCTCATTACTTCAAGAAATGTATAAGTTGCTACTTCTAGAGCAGCAGAACTACTTAAACCTGCTCCAATTGGTACTGTTGAGATTATTACGGCATCAAAACCTGACAAATCATCTACAAATATATTTATAAAAAGAAAACATAAAATTTAAATTTCACATCAATATATGATATTTGATAAAAACCTCTGCTTACATGGAAAATACGCAATACATCCTTTTACATAATTAGCCCACTTGGGTTCTCCTGTTTTTATATTTTTTTTAACACTAACATCAAATTCAACTTGACGTAATGAACCAATATTTTCATTAAGAGAAATAATCTTACATTCTTTCCTATCATTTGGTCTTCCAGCTATTATTGTGACCATAGGTAACGCCTATAACGAGTAATATTAATCACAAATAAAAAAAAATTAAAAAACTAATTGTAATTGCTACAATTCATTATCAAAATACTCCTTTTATAAAATGCATCATTATATTTTATAAAATAAATAATTACCAAGTAAATTAAAATAAACAATAAGTAAAAATAATAATAATATTTTTTATTATTATTATCTAATTAATTCTGTACTTTTATTGACCAAAAATGAGTAAAATAATTTTTATTTTCGAAAACAGTAATTTATTGCTAATGGGGGCTCTTTTAATGAATGCAAAAATAAATCACATATTAAAATATCAAACTTGATAAATCGTTAGGTCACGACCTGCACTTTTGAAATATTAGCTCTAATCTACATAAATCAAAACTAACTTTATTTCTCTTTAATCTTCAATACGTTGCTTCGAGAATTACAAAATTTCAATTTATTTTCTAAACAACTTAGACGTTTATAAGTATAATAAATTTAAGTGGTAATTTTCAAATTGAAGCTTTTTTCGCGCTAAAACATTTTAATGAGATAAACTGTTCAAATAGCTATTCTCACGCGACTAGTATTTAACATTTTTATTGCTGACGAAAGAATAGATGTTACTTAACACGATTACAATTATGTAACTTGTGTAACAAATATAATTCAAAGTTAAGTATCTATATTTTTGCATTTTATGATGATATTACGATTTAAATGACAAAAAATCAAATGAATCGATAATTAAAAAAAAAAAATCAAATAACTGAAAGTATTATTCAAGAAATAAATGTTATTATTTTATAAATGTTTATAAATTACCATTGGCAATACAAATCCTTCATTGTAATCCGTATGTTCACCGATTAAATTTACACGACCAGGCGCACAAGCACAAATTGTCGCTTCGACACCAAATTCTTGGGCAAAAGCTTTCAAAGCATTCGCTTTAACGTCTTTTGCATCTAGAACTATGGTTGCCATTTTTTCTCTTTCTTTTTCTTTTACAAATCACTCGTATTTTATATATTCCTAATTTTATCTTTACTTATTAATAAATATCTTTTTCTTACTTGATCGATATTTGAACGTTTAAAACGTTCGTGTTTCGCGGTTGATTTTACTAAGAACCAAGGGCTCCTTTCACAATTCACCTTAAAATGATACAAGGTCAATAGCGATTCTCTTATAAACGATTACTGTCGATAATGATCGATAATTGATTCACGAATTAATCGATACAATCGATGTATGCTTGGTATCGCTTGATTTTCAGCGGTTAATTCAAAATTCTTGTTCTATTTCCATTAAATTCCCCTTTAACGATATATAATTTTGATTCGTAATTGGAACATATATTTTAATATGCACATTATTAATAACATGCACATTAATTATATAGAAATATCTTAATAATTTAATGTTTATATTATAACAAAATCCGCTACTTATTTAATAGAATAACACATAATATATAAATGCAGAATACAATAATAATTTTCTATATTTATCAATCATGGAATAAACCTACTAACATAAGGATGTATTGATATAATAAAATGATATCAACATAAATTTGAGTAGTTGCATAAACAACTTCGTCTGGATTTAATTCTATTCTTCGTCCGCCCATGATTGTTTGTACGTCAAAAAATAAATACTGAAATAATAGAAAATATTTCGTTTTTATATATTTATTATTAACAATCAAATATATATTGTATAGAATTAATATTAACCATTGATATAAGGAGTGTTCCTATGATGCCTATTAGCATATGTAATGTTTTTATGTATGTAAATATCATTACCATTACCATTACAAAAAGAGCAATAATTCCAACTAATCCAATTATTGTTATCAATCCTGTTCGCATGGTTAGATCAAACTGCGAATGAACAATGAATTATTAAAATAATTATTTTTATTAAATTTATTATAAAACATTTTATTTGATTTTTCAACACCAATTATACATACCTTAGTGAATGTAGCTATAAAACTAATTGCGATAGTTACAAATGTGGTCATGCCTAACGCTATAAGAACCACTTCAATAGTATAAAATACAGAAACAAAGGCAGCAAGATACGACATAGCCAATGTCTGAAAAAAATATAAATGTATACGAAATCGTTTACATTTACAAATAAATGAGATGTTATACTATATTTTACCAGCAAACAAAGGCAGATATAATTATTTGGTGCTTGTCGTCTTGCACATTCAGAACATGCTATAGCGCAGTACGTGACCGTAAAGAGTATTCTAACAAAATGTAAGAACTTAAAACTTTCATTAAAATAATTTATTTATCTAAAATGAAAAAAAATTACATACAGAGCTATTACCCAAATATACCAATTAATTAACATAAACTCTCGTGCAACTGGCCTAAAAGTGAAAGAAATAAAATTTATAAATATAAACAAGTAATAAATAAAATTTGTATAAAATAATAAACAACTTACACAAACATAAAAAATGCCACGACAGCTGTTGTATATATAAGTTGCAATGCTAATATGCAAAAAATTTTTTTAATAAAATTCCTTCTCACTAACGAATCCTTAAAATTGTCCATATAATCTTCATCCCCCATTTCTCTTCTTCTTTGCTCGTGGAGCCAAGCTCTATATAATTCTTGATTTTGTCTTTCCCTTTGGGCTACCATATCATCTGTTACAATAACGGTGTATGGACCCTATAAAAGAAATAAAATTTGTTTATTAAATTATATTATACGCGAATGTGGATTTTAAGTAATTTTAATTTTTTTTTATTATAATTACTAGCTTACGCTTTGTATTTTTTGCCCTTTAAATAAAGGTGGTAACTGTTGGGGCCCATGTATAATATTTTCAATTTCTTGTTCATTAGGATTAGTTGATTGCATTAATATAATGTGGAGAATTGAAGATGTTTATTATAAAAATGTTTTTTATTCGCCTTTATTATTCAAGTAACAAACTTTGATTAATTTATTATCTGCCAATGTCACGATATTATAATAATGTTTATCAATATTCTATAAAATATTGTTAAATTACATATAAAAATTAAGAGTTTAAAAAAATATAAAAGAATAAATTCAAAATAAATAAATAGATACACAATTAATTAAAAAATAAACAAATGACAAAATATATTGAATGAAGTTGTACTATTTCAAATTTCTTGATTATTGTTATATTTTCAATATTAGGATACTTTCATATTACATATACATATCTAAAAATAATATATAATTTTATTCGAAGGTAACATAAAAGAGAATTTGTAAGATTGAGTAAAATTTGTTCACTCGCAATATGTATTTATTAGTCATATAATTCTATAGTTATATTAATTTTTCATTATTTAAAAAGAATACTTCGACAGGAATATCTGCGAACAATTCTCGATATTTATATTTAAATCTTTGCATAAAAGTCGAAAGGAGTCAACTTTCTTTTAACTGTTTAAATACAAAATTCTATTATTGTTAATAATTATATTGTAATAACAAGCAATATATATATATATATATATATATAATTATAAGGATTGTATAACATAAACGATCTTATATAAATATAATACTTATGATATTTTTAAAAGTGTGCGTTGTATCTTTTTGTTTTAATTAATAAATTGTTAGCATGTACGATGTTGCACATAATTCTATGAGCATGTATTTTAAGGAAAACAATTATATTAACGTAAAAATAAATTTAATCAATTAATATTTTATTCACTACGAATACGAATTTTATATATTTATCTTGGAACAATATCAGTTAATATATTCTTTACTATAAGCTACTTTTAAAAGCTAGTATTAGTCAGTCTTGCAAATAGTATTTATAAAAAACTATTTGAATGTGCATGAAAATTATATAACTTCAGTTATAAAGCTTAATGCAAATTGAGCTTTTCAGGCACTCTTAGTTTTGCTTAAGCATGAGGTTTCATAAATAATTTGTCAATATATTAATCAAGCTTTCTCTTTTTGATTTTTATATTGGTAACTTATGTAAGTTCATTTGTTATTCCATATTGATTCATCTGTTCCCTTATTTTACTATAAAGTAACTGTAAAAGGAATGAGATAAATAATTATTACTTAATACATATATAAGTATAATAGTCAGTAAAAAAACATATGTTTTGGTTAACCTGTTTTATATTGGAATCTGGTATTAAGATTATTTTGGATTGTTCTGGGCTGCCGAATAAATTTCCTAGTTTCTTTCTTTTTGAGGAATCTTTAATACAAATCTGTACTCCTTTGTCAACTATTTTTGGTAACTCACCAAATTCTTGCCACGTATGGGTCCAATCGACCTATGAGAAGTAATATTTTAACTAAGTAATATTATTGTATAGAGAACTTCTTATAATTTGATTCAAGGCATACCTTCCAGCCACCGAATAAATCGCTATATTCAAGATAAGCTATACGTTTATCAGTAAGCAACAGGACATCTTTATTGATATATATATGATAGAAATAAATATCTGTATTTGCATATTTGCCTTTTTCAAGTTCCTGTTTGAAAAAACAAAAAAATAAATTAATTTCACACAATAATATTGTTATCATAAAATAATATATTACTTACAGCTAGTATTTTATTACCCTCAGCTTCATCTCTTATGTAAGGTCGAACAAGACTATCTGGTTGTAGGAATCTGGGTGGACGAACTCTTTTAGCTTCTTCACTTAATTCAGCCGCACTAAAATATATTTCCGTTTATAAAAACTATTTTCATAGATAATAAATATTACGAAACATAAAAAAATATGTTTTTACCGCCTGACAGCACCGAAAGATCCACTAGCAAAATCGACAACTCCAGCAGTTGGTCTAGTTACAAGTCCAACAACTCCCTTTCCAAAACCTTTGAAAAATCCTTCAATACCTTCTTCTTTAGCGCCGGATATAGGTTTCATTACAACACCAGTTACACCATCCACAACACCCTATATATAAATAAAATAATAATTTTAATAAGCATAAATTGTAAGAAAGTATTTCATATTAAATATTAACTTAATTCATGAACATACCATGACTAAACCTTTTCCACTTCTGACAAGTCCTTCGTGCAAATTTGCTGGCTGTTTATTTAATTGTTCTTGTCTTTTTCTTTGGTAATCTTTGTCGAAAGTTAAAGCAGCTATTCCTTTACCTTTATATATAAAAATATTATGATTTTAAATCTATGACAATGATAGGAAAAAAAATTGTATGTAATATTTTAATACCCATAGCTCCTGTAATTTTCGATACAGCTCCTGCCATTCCACCAACAGTATGACCTAACATACTTCTAACACCAAGATATAAACCTTCAGCAAATTCTCCTGGACCTTGTATGGCGCCTTGAAAAGGCTCATAAAATAAATCTTCGATACCTTTCATCGTACCAACTACAAGACCATATGGATTACCAATTACATCAAGACCTAACACAAGAACATAAGCTTGCTTAATAGCTTGTCCTACATAATGCGTAGTTGCTTCTGAGATTAATTGTTTATGTGTCATGAAAGTATAATCTCGTTCGAAGTATGCTAATCTGTAAAATAAGAAATGTTCTTTCTATTAATTGCTATATCACGTTAACAAAATCTAAGAAATAGGAAAACATACTTGAATACGATATCGTTAATATCAGTTAGAGTAACTCCAATGCCTTGTAATAGTACATTAAGTACTTGAGGTACTGCAGAAGGTCCACTTCCAGTACCAGTCATTGAAAAACTAATATGTATCTAATAAAGAAAGAATAATTTGATAATTAGATAAATGTGTTTATGATTTTCTTTTTTTATACGTAATAGTATAAATAATAAATATCACGGACCTTAAGGGGTGAAAAATGCAATAAATCAAAAAAATTTTTTTGTTCAGCTGTTGTGATCAAACTAACATGATACATGAGTGGTTCATGCACTAATTTCATGTCTGTGCGGAAAAGTTCACTCTGTAATAACAAAATAACAAAATTTTTAGAATACACATACTACTGGATGAATAGTTATAAATAATACAATTATTTAAATATAATATCTTACTTCTTCTGCATCATTCGCTACATTCGCTTCAAAAAAGGCCATTATGACATTTATAAATACTATATCCACTTTAATGTGGAATTCTTGAATAAGTACTTTGAAATAACGGAATTGCTGAACCGTGCTATGTTCTAAGAGACGTTTTACCATACTAAGCTCGGCAAACGGTTTTGGTACTATAGAATTATTACGATTTTTTAAATGAACAATTCAATATTATAATAAAAAAATATAAAAGGGACACTTTTTACCTGTACTTTGCGTGATACTCTTAGGTAGAGGAACTGGTGCTAGAATAACTGGAAACACACAATCTGAAAGTTGATTATCTATCTGTAATCTATTAATTTTAGCATGTAATTGTACTTGATGTGCTGATGTTTTATACTGTAGCCATAAACCAGTTTGGAATGAACGTCTTATGTAACGACGATGAGGTTTTAACATTTCCATATTTAAGTAATCCACCTAAAATTAATTACAATATAAATATTGATTAAAAGGATAAGCAATTATTATAGAATAAAACACCGATTGTTAAATTTTTAAAACTCCACCTCCAACTTAGGTTCAAGTAATACTCTATAAGGCGGGTCCTTTTCAATTTGTAACTCGCGTATGTATTTTTGGTATCCCTCTTCAATAATATTAACTTCTCTTGCATTAAGAAAACGCCATCTACTTCCAATAGATTTACACGTTTCCCATATTATACCAGAGCTATAATATATCATTATGTAAGAATATATTGGTATACTAATAATATCCAAAAATTATAAATATCCTTGAACAAAATATTACCTAGCTATGCACATATATAAAAGCTCTGTTTTAGTAATATTATTTACAAGTGAAAATCCTACTCCATGGATATTGAGAGTTATCTCTTGTTCAATAGGCTCAAGATCACCTACTAATTGACAATCTTCAGCTATTTTTAAATTTGTAGTAAACAGAAGTACTCTTTGTGTACCATTTAAAAATGATACATAATATATTTCTTCTTCTGTGTCAGGTATTTGAAAAGCACCTAAGGTATCCTAGAAATTTTAATCATAAAAGAATGATTACTTAGAAATAACTTAGAAATTCTGGTGGGTTTTAAATCCTTAATAGAATAATTTATTTAGTTTACCTTTCTTAGATCATCTTCTATTTCTTTTTTGTTATTATCTTCCCACATTAATTTTCTTGGACCAGCAGGATTTTCCCAAGTATAAAACATTCTGTTAAATGATTGAATAAACCTGTAAGAAACATAAATTAAATTATTTTATACTTCAAATTTATTTACTTAAATATGTAAAGCCTAAAGCTTATTCTTTATAAGTTAGTTATAAAGATGAATCTCTGAATGAATTTTAGTGCACCTTATATTCATAGATCCTTTTTCCCAGAAATTGATTGAATGATGAGTATGATTTATAATAAGAGCTGGAGCATTGCCAGGACTGTAACCTGACATTGAAATGTATATTCCGCCTTCATTGATTTGTATATCAACATTAATACCGCCGTACTAATCGATAAAAATAATTATTAAATTTCTTTTTCAATGCTTTAATTAGAAATAAAGCAATATTAATAAAACAAATAATGACCTTATTATCTAGTTTTAACAACGTGGTATGACTATCAGTATAAATGAAAGCTGCTGTTTTTTCAGGATATCCTGCAGCCTTTGCCTTCAAAGTTTTCACTTCGTGTTCTGAACGAGGCCAAAAAGCAGAACATTCTCCAGGTGAAACCTATATTATAATATATATTTAATTTATATTTATAAATATGTTATATATATATATATANTTGACATTCAATTAGAAAATTACTGTTATTAATAAGAACATAATAAGGTGTAAATGTAATTTGCTTTGTTAAAGAATTATATGT